GGGAAAAAAAGGGGGGGGGGGGGGGGTGCGTCCTCGGCATTGCTTTTTCGCCGTTGTTGCCTTTTCATTCTGATCCAAGTGGCTGCTGTCGAGAAATTTTTTTTTCTCTCTTGTTTCTTCCTCCACCTCTTACCTCTATTCTTTTATATGCTTTTTTTTTTCCTCCAGCATTGTCGCCCCCAGATTTCCCATAGGAACCGAACGAAGGGGATTTCGACGTCTATTGTTTTAAGGAGGATTCGAGCCCAGGAAAAGTTTACCGTCCCTTGACGACGCAACTGGCAAAGCCTTGGCACTGTTTTACTTGGCTGATGACAATGGCTGCTACCACGCATCCCCTGTAGGATATATCAAAATTAGTTTTGTTATTGGGCTTGGTTGTATTAGACTAATCGGGAGGTACCATTATACCTAGGTATAATTATATTATGTAAATTATTCGTGACAAGGGTCAGAGGATGGTAGTGCATATGATTTTGAGAATTAAAAATGATTTTTGTACAATTTGAAAATGTTGATGACTCTAGGATTGCTATTGTTTATTTTTTCCCGGGTAGACAATTGATTTTGAAAACGGTATACCCATTGTGACGTTATTGACTTGAGTGATGGTAACCGAAAAAAATATAATGAACAGTTGAATGGGTCGAGGGATGAGTCGTAGGGGTTGAGCGATAATGTTATAGATATGTAAGTGGTCTATAGTGGGCTGGTGACAGGGGGTGGCTGGGAGGTCGAGCACAAGGGATGGAAATTGTGACACGGTTTGAGAATGATAGGGGGTTTTCTTCGTTACAGGGTAAAAAGTATTAATAACCCGATTTGCTTGTAAAACGATCGGACCTAACCTAGTGAAGCTCACTGTATTTCTCTAGTTCATCGTTCGGTGATCAATAGTAATAATTACAGCTACCGACAAGCTGAGAATCTGGTGGGGGATGAGTGTCCCTACGGTTGAACCAATGATGTCATGAGGGTTGCGCCGAGGGGTGTGGCGTCGGTGACGAGGCTGGTTCCGCCTCGAAGTGCCTCGAGGGCAAATCGGGAAGCGTCGGGCCAGTTCGTTCTCAGTCGACACCGGTACTCCCTTCGAGAACGTTGCAGAACGTATAGCTGCTGCAACAGACATACAGAAAGCAGTACTGGCTTCAGCAGTGGGCCTGTGCTGTGAAGTTGATGAGTAAAAAGGGGAAAGATTGTTGGAATTATTATTGACAATTGACTGTTAAATCCTAATAACATTTTACCACGAGGAACTGCCACACTGGAAGAGGCGAACACGTGTCATCCGCGCTCCTGTGAGCGGATCAGTTGAGCTGGACAGGAATTAAATCAAACCTGTGAACGTGAACGTGTAAGTGACATTTGGTTGAATAGGATTTTGAAAAAGAAAAGAGAAATTCATACCTATTACCAGTGATAACTAGTGGACAAGAGCGCGGTGAAAGGTGCGAGAGTAGCAGTAGAATTGAGGAATTCGTAAGGATTCCTTACAGGGACGTCAAAATGATGAGCTCACATACTCATCCTCACGGACATCCGCATCCTGGTTATGGATTTTTGTCCGGAATGGAATTTCACACGGTGCACCACATGGCCCAGGAAATGTCATCGGGACAGCAAGGATCCCCTGGCGTGAATGGTGCCGTTGGTGGTGGAGGTGGTGCGCAAGAGCAGCACATAAAGCGGCCCATGAACGCCTTCATGGTCTGGTCCAGGATTCAGCGGAAGAAGATCGCCCTGGATAACCCAAAGATGCACAATTCTGAGATATCAAAGAGGTTAGGTGCCGAATGGAAATTACTATCAGAGACAGACAAGCGACCTTTCATCGACGAGGCGAAGAGATTACGTGCCATGCACATGAAGGAGCATCCGGATTACAAGTACAGACCAAGAAGAAAGCCAAAAGCGTCTGTGCCAGTGAATCCCGGTGGCAAACCTGGTTCGATCAGTCCCGTCGGTAGCGGTCCAGGTGGTTTCGCGAGTTTTCCATTGCCACACTACTTCGCCGCTTCAGCAGCACCCATGGGACATCATCATCTGGACTTTCCGCCCCTGCCAACCTACTTCGGATCAGCCTTCGACGCGGTTCATCTGAGCAAGCTCGTGGCCGGCGGTCAGGGTAACCCGTCTTCGGCTGCTGCCGCCGCGGCGGCCGCCGCCGACGCAGCCAATAACAACGCTGCTGCCGCCTCCGCAGCAGCCGTCGTAAGCAGCTTCTACTCGAGTCTCTACCCCACGACGACGACCTCAGCAGCGGCTGCCGCTGCTGCTGCGTCGAAACCCTATCATCCTGGTAGCGGTGCCAGCAGCGCCGTGGCTGCGGCCGCGGCCGCCGCGGCGCATCTCTCACCGCATCTGTTCTCCACCAGTTCACATTCACTTTCGCCGCACCACCATCATCATCATCATCATCATCCTGGAGCCATTCAGCATTCACATACGTCGGCCACGACGACGACCTCCTCCTCCATGTCGATGCCATCCTCCCTCATGTTCCCGACGTCCTCGACTTCAGGTTCAGCGGGGAGTATCGCCGGATCCAGTAGCAGTCCCGGAAGTAGTCCTGGTGCTACGTCACTGGTATCCACGCCAACCAACTCGTCCGGCACCACCCTTGACCTTGAACAATTACGAAGACCCGTGTCAGTTATCTTTTAGACATTTCTCAATACTCCTCGTCCCATGGATATATCAATTTATCGTTAAGGACACCTTGTATACATGACAGCTGCGATCGTCTCGTACGATGAAAACGATCGCGAGGTTAGCTGAGCACAATTTTTAATGACGATAAATAAATGACGTACGGCCCGTGAAAAGGGTGCAGATGCAAAAAAAAAACCAGAGCTGTAATTGTATAAAAGGAGAAGGAAAAATTAATGAAATATTAGTGCGCGGTGATCTGCTCAGCGGAACCGTTATCAAAAATGTCCAAATTTAATCGTATTTAAAAAGAAAAAGGCCCAATCCGAATTGTACAAATGTTATGTAGATTTTAAGTTGGTACCTCATGTCATATTTATATTATTTTCTATTAACATTACTTTGAAAATAAGTGCGTGCCCGCGAGTGTATTTGAGAGAATAATCATGAAAGATGAACGAACGAGTGAGAGAGAGAGAGATGGAATACTATAATAAAAAAAAACAGATAAAGGATTATTTAGGACAAAAGTACACAACCCTCCCAAAAGTTGGTTATACCATAGAAAAGATCTAGAAGCGCTAATTAAAATTTGTCTTAAATAATCTAGTGTGATTGAACGCAATGATGAGTACATAAATTGAAATATCAGTATTTGCTGTTGTTAAAGATTAATTTATGCACCCAATCGAATAGCATTACGTTTGCCACGTACAGGAGAGACAAAAAGTTTCTTGGATCGTGCTCCAATTCCTTAAGGCTAGTCCGTATGTGAAACTTGGATTTACCGCACGGGATAGGCATTTTTACATTTTAGCAACAACCACGAAGTCACCATGTACATTATGTTTGTTAATAAATTGTTATTATATGTTCATACCACGAATCCAATTGTCTTATTGATTCATCCCTTAATTTCCCGACGAAAGGGAAGGATATCGAAGGGAAGCGGGGAGGGGTTGAAAAATGTATTTTTTTTTAAATCCCCATAAATTGATCCGCGTGAGAAAGCAAAATTGGGGTATTTAATCGGAAAATATCGAAGGGACGAAAAGTCGACGTCGAAAAGGTGGCGTTCCGACGGTGGGGCCGAGAGGTAAATATTAATACAGAGAAGGGTCCAAGGGAAGTAAGGGCCAAGGTATTGAAATAGAAAAGGGATGAAAACTAAGGAAAGTTCGGTAAGCAGTGCAAGCGCCCCCCCCCGTCCCTCCCCCATAAAAGGAAACAGCCAACAGAGCCAGCGGGGTTTCTCTGTATGAAAGGACAAAAAGGGTCCCGCGCGCCAATACAATTGCCCTCTAAACAGAGGGTAGTTATAGTGAAACGCAATGCGTAGGGGTGCCCCATAAAAGCAAAGGGTGGTCACCTCTGGGCTACACTCGCTTGGCACTCCTAGTAACCTCGGGGTGCTCACGGTGAGACTTTTTAGCCATTCAATGCCGCGCGAAGGGTTTAAGGGTGCGTGCACACCGTTTGACCCCTAAGGACCACCCTCCGACTACTTTTGGTTTTCTCGTCACCTTCTACCGTCACCCATACAGCTCGACCTAAGTACCAATGATAGTTCTCGAAACCCTTTACCCCCTTTTTTTCATCCCCTAGGATTACGATCATCAACGTCTTCCACGTTGGTCCTCGATGACCTGCGCCCCGTCGAACCGAACCTCGACCCCTTTGAATCTGGAGCTGGCGCTGAAAAAAAGGGCAAAAACGACTGAAACAAGAGAACCATCGGAGAAGGACGAAAGAAGGGGTGGGTCGGGGGTCGCAGGGTAATGGAGAAAGGGGTAACGTATAATATCAAAAGGGTTCGGTCGAGTTTTCAATGGAACTTAATTTGGAAGTCGTATCGGGATCCGTGGACCCTTATTTCATGGAAACTTCTTAAGGGTTACGGCTCGTCTAAATTAGACGATTGTTTGTGGCTCCCCGAATGCTTTCCTTTTGCGCCATCGCGATACCACGGCGAAACCCTTCTGCGACACGTCGAAGGAAAAGGGTGAAAAATAAGAAAAAAAAAACATTCTGTTTGTAACTGACGATCCCTAACCTCAAACTGAAGGGGTTGGCTGCTGTCAACTGGCTCACGGAGAAATCGAAACTCGTTCAGAAATGCCAGTGAGTACAGTTAGCTTTTTCTTTCACCCTCCCCC